TGATCATTGTTAAGTTATGTTTGTGTGTAGGAATATTAATCATAGTATTTTATTTACTGCAGTTGAGCAGCCTGATGCTAACTGAATACTGATGAATATCAATGCTAGTGATACCTAAAAGTTCAAGATAAATATTGTTAAAAGTGGAGACTAGAATTCATTACTCAAATCTGATTAAAAAAAAATTAACTATATTTAACATAACAACTTTGTATATTTTTGGAATATATTTGAAAAATTAAAATATCCTTCATACTCTGGATCTTCTTGTAATTTTGTTGTCCTTCAGAGGCCACTTGTCATTGACATCCTTAATATTGTTGTTGAGATACTGAAATAAGATTTCTAGAAGTGTATAGTTTATAAACCTTTATTTTTAAAATAACTTCTGTTTGTGATGGCTTTCTTAAAGGAGTACATTAAATCAACATCCATAATCTGCCAATTAGTTATTTGTTTTCTTCACATATTACTCTTTTCACAGTCCTGCTGATATCAATACATTTACCATGAATGGTAGAAAATAAGCAGCCGTGGTGCAGTGGGTAGAGTTCTGGCTCAGAACCCAGAGGTCCGAGGTAGAACGCCAGTTCCAGCCCAACAAGCGACATTGGTACGGAAGTAGGCATGAATTTCCTGCTAAATGCTCTCCCGGGGTGCTCTATGATAAGACTGTAAGGACTTTTGGGAGCACCTAAATACATACAAAAAAAAAAAAAACTTGTTCAGCATTTAAATCAAATTTTTTACTGTGATGACAGAAATCTATAAAGCTTCTAAAATTTTTAAGTTGTGTTGCACATCCATCAAAAAAATACTTTACACATGATACAACAGGTTTCTTTTGATATATCTAGTTATATCTTCTTGAATTTTGTAAGAAAATTTTGTGTTGCAATCAGATTAAAACATAATAGTTTTTAATAAAATAATTTTAATAGTTTTAAAAAATAGTTTTAAAATAATTTTTTTTTTTTTTTTTAATTTTCAAACCAAACATTGGCTTTGGCTCCACTGATAACTTCGAACATCCTGGACATTATATTGACAATTGTCAGCTAGATCTTAAAATTAGTTATTTGTTTTTCTTTAAAAATAATTTTTTTAAGTTTTTTAAGTTTTTATAATATTTGAATTTACTTTTTGTTTTTCAATATATGAATGTGAGGTAAGCTTGTCAATGCTGCTGCATAAAAAATCATGAAAATTCTCTAGTGGCCATGATTTTAACTGTAATGCTGTTAAATGCTAGCTCATAGTCTAAAAACACTTGCTCCAAAACTTTTTAATGCTTGAATACTATGAAACAATTAAAGCCATAAGCCTTTATCAATTTTTATTCTGCCTAATTGCATTGGTGAGAAATAGTGTATTTTGGTTATGATGCATACACATATATTATGAGTACTTGATGCATTAGATGTAAATCATGACTTAGTTTTCAGAATGCAAAAGTTTGCTAAACTGAGCTTGAAATTAGAATTATTTTTTTCCTGATGTTCTGAAAATTAATTGCTTCTATAAAAGTTGATCACTAATTTGACTGTTTCTGGTGAAAAAGTTTTTTTGCATTAAAATATCTAAATCGTGATCTTTGTTTGTGTTATTGTTTGAAGTTGAGCTTTTTATATTCTGTTGTTAAGAAGCTTTTTTAATATTATTAGCTAGCAAAACCATTTTTGAAGTTATGTTTATTGTCTCCTCAAACTTTTTTTTTTTAAGTCTCCTCAAACTTTTGTTTTGCTGCTACTCCTGAAAACTTTTTAGTTGAATGTTGAATGGTGAAATCTCAACAATTTTATAAAGTATCAAACACTTTTTTTTACTTTGTGATTCCCAATCCTCCTGTGAACTAAAATCTTCATCAGTTTCCACTTTTTTTTGTTGCTGTTGTTGTTGTTTGTTTGTTTTTTGTTGTTTTTTGTTGTTTTGTTTCTTGGTAACATTTTTATTGCTTTAGTAAAAATTTAAATTTGAAAAAATTAGAATATTTTTGTGTGAAAAAAACTTAAGGTACATCACAATTACAAACATAACCAATTAAATACAATAGGCAAAAAAAGACAACAACAATCCAATTAAATAAAATATAGAAAAAAGGAAAATAATACCATTTAAACAAAATAGACAAAAAAAAAGAGTATAATGCCTCTGGTACATCATAGTTATAAACAATAAAACAAATAATTACAAACAACAAAAACATACGGTACATCATAATCACAAACAAAACCAATTAAACACAATAGACAGAAAAAGACAACAACAACCCACTCAAATAAAATTTAGAGAAAAGAATAATAATACTATTTAAACAAAATAAAAAGAAATATAATGCCTTCTAACAAATATTTATTATTTAATTAGATAATAAGTTTTTTATTTTTTAATGAGTTTTACTTAGTAATGGATTTTATTTTTTTACTATGTGATTTAGAAATATCAAAACTTCAAGTCTTTTCTTCATTTTCTAATTTTTAGTATTTATTTCAATATTATAGTAAAATTCTCTATAAATTTTATAAATGCTGCTCTATAAGTTTTTGAATATTCATTTGAATAGTTTTTTGTTTTTGTTCATTTAGAAACTATCCCAAATAAAAACATAGTTCCTGAAACATCAGTTGAGATCAGTAATCAAATGGAAAAAAAAAACTTTCATCAAAATTTAAATTCCTCACTATCTGCCGCAAGTGGCATGTGGTTTGTGGGTGTAGGCAATGAAAATTTACCTAACTTGCCAACTGACATTCCTTTTACGACTTCAAATGTGGAAGTTGCTGATAACCTAGGAGAAAATGTAACTTATTTGGAGGGTGAAAATGATGCACTTAAGCTGAGTTCATTAACTGATGTAAGTGGAGTGACACCTATAATTGATATTACATCTCATAAAGTAGATGTTCCTGCAATTATGTTGTCATCCTTATCAAGCAAACAACTGCAAAAAAATGTAAATAGTTTGATTTTTTGCTATTTTTTAATATATAAACAATTTTTTCTCTGAAAGTATATTAGCTTGGGTATCAAAAGAATCAGAATTTTAGAGATTTTTAACCTAAACTTGATGTGACATTAATTTTTTTGCAAGTTTTATAAGAGAGGTTATGATTTTTGAAAATTAATAAAGTTCAATTTTTTAGAGACTAAGTTAATATACCTTTTTAAGAAAATTTTTTTTAGTGATATATAGGGCCCAGCAAGTAATCAAAGGTCATTGGTGGTTACTTTTAAAGTAGATAAAACCAAGTTATATAGTTCTTATATAAGTTCTTATATATTAGGGTTGTGTATATATACAACAGACAATATATATCTATGGATGTTATTTCCTAATACATTTTGTGCACTTTAATTCTTTAAAAAAAATTTATTGCTGCCCCAAACCCTCAGTCAATGTAGCGTCACTCAATTGCATGTTCTACCTAGAACATGAAATTGAGCCCTCTACTAGGTATCTTCCTCTAAATCTATTTCTTTACATCTTCTTGGATTATCTTTCTCTATTGACCTCTCATGCAAACCATATATATTATCAATTAAAGAGTTAGCCACCTGCTAAGGCTGCTTCTCTTATGGCTCTCTCTCTTTTTTTACTTCTGATTTCATTCTTTACCACTACAAATCTCTATTTTGTCTGTGTATGGAATACTGTTGTTTTTGTTCGGGCTGGTTTTTCTAATTATACTCTTTCTCTCCTAGACAAGGTCCAAAAAAAGTGTTGTAAACCAAGTTGGAGCTAATTTATCTGAGCTAATTTATCTGCATCTGTTTCTTTTTTCTACAAATGCTATCAGGGCTGCTGCTCAAAGGTTTTGACCTCTAGTTCCATCAGCCAAAACATACAATCTAAAACTTTCTTCTGGCAACGGTTACCTTGCTTTTTAACTCTATTCTTTGTTTTCTAGTCCCAACCTAGTAGTGGTTGCTTGCAGCCTTGTAAGTGAATTAGATGATTTTTTCCGAGATTAAAATCCACATTAATTCGTTAAATAGAATTTGTAAAGTAAAATACAAAATAAGTTTTATTCTAAGTGAGAAATAAGTAATTAAATTGTATGTAATAATCTACTAGTTTAAAAAATAAAAATTGTTATCTTTTTATTATTACAGAAAGTTAAAGTTGATATAAAATACATTATTGTAGTACTTTTTTTCTCTTTTTATTTTATTAATTTGTTTATATTTTCATATTAACAATATGAAAATATAAAAGCAGTTGTTTTTATGTTTTCATATTGTTTTATTTTTATTTATTTTTTTAACTTTTCAGGTCCTGATCATGACATTAAACTGATCATTCATTAGATAAAGTGAGACATATTAGCCATGGTGTAGGAGTTTGTTAGGCTTGGATAGTAATCTTCCTAGTGGTAGTATTACAGTAAAAGTAATCAATCTTGATTTAAAAAATAGATCAACTCTAGAAAAGGCATCTAATTGTAAAAAAAGCTATTTTCATGTTGTATTTAATTAACAAAATTATCTTATGGATAACCCCCATCCTTCTTCCTCAACCCCAAAAAAAAGCATTCTTTTTGTATTGTGTTTCTTTGTTTAGGTATCATCATTATCTTGAAGACAAATAAAATAGTAAAAAAAAAACATTTTCACCCAAGTATTATTGATTTAAGAAAGAAGGGAGGGGGGGGGGAGGTGGAGGAAGAGGGGAAAAACTATTTTGTGGTTGTTATATGTTGTAATTATTATTTAAAAAAAATTAAAATTATTTAAAAAAAAAAGTTATTTTTTAAAAAAAAGTTATTTAACTTTTATTATTTATTAAAAAAAATACTGTTTTTTTGAGAAATTATTTTTTTCCAATGAAAATTAGTTTTAAATGTATCTTAAATGTTTAAATATATTTTTGTGTAATAATTTATTGTAATTTATAATATTTCATAGATGTTACCATAACTTTTTTGTATATATATAACTCCTAATTGCATAAAATATGTTCATGTTATTAATGGAATGCCATTTTTCAAGTAATCCTTTAAGCTTATAAGATCTTTTTTATTGTTTACTAAATGAATACTACCATAACTACCATTGTGAACAGTTTACATTTTCATTTGTGAAATGTTATTAAAATCAACATTTAAAATGAGACGAAGATGGTCTCAAGAATTGGTATTGTTTTTTTATGATAAAAAATAATTTACTTTATTATTTCATTAAAAATATTGTAAAAATATTTTTTTATTATTGTCAGGTTGATGAAAACAAACTGTCCACAGCAGAAAATAAACCCGGTGATGAACAAGAATCAAGTGATATTACCATGAAATTCAAAAGCTTATCTTTGAATAATAAGTCTGATGACACACTTAATGATAATTATTTTACACCAAACAGCTCCTATAGTAAAGAATTGAATAAAAAAAATCACTTATTTAACAGTTTAGAAGGTGAGACAATACAGAATAAAAATATCACACCTGTTTCGTTTACACCAAGCACTACCATATCAAACTATTCTGAAACTGTAAATCCAAACTATGTTTTTTCTAAATCTGCTTTAACTCAATCTGATTTTAATCAAGGTGTGTTTGATGACTTATCTCTACATACAAAAGGTGTACTTGATGACCTACCTTTACATATGAAAAATGTTCAAAACTCAGTCGATAATAATGGCATATTTAGTTCTTTTAAGTTGTCACAAGAGCATCTTTTACATTCTGTTGATCAGTCATCTCCCAAGAATCAAGCTGTAAATGAACAATCAGTTAATAATTATCAAATTCTACAATCACCTCAAAATAATTCCCAAGTTAGTGAAAGCAGTTTTATTACCTCTGAAAGTCAAGTGACACCAACCAAACAAAATAGTATTCTAAATGGAGTTATTGACGATAAGAATGACCTTCATGAAATGTCTCCACAAAGTTTTGGCTTTACACTTGAAGAAAATGTAATATATTTTAATACTCATCAGCATATTTATGTATTTACGTGTATTTTTTATGTTTTTTGTCAAATTGAAATACATGCAGAGCAATTCATCCTTGCAGAACAAATTTGTATTAAAATTATTTACAGTTCATACATTACATTCAATCACTTATCATTTTTAGTTTTTGTCTACGTGTTTTGGTCTGTCAAAAACAGCAAGGCAGTTCACTTTCAAAAAAAAATTTGCTTTTAATTTATGTTAATTTTTATTATAGTTTATAACTAGACTGAAACTATGGTTGAAAAGTTGTTGCTTTTCTTACATAAAAGTGTCAAAATTTTTAATTTGTTTTAAATTTTAAAAACTTTTCAGGATATGACACCAGAACAAAAGAAAAAGAAAGAAAGGTTCATTCAAAACAGAATGAAAAAATTGCAAATAGAAAAAGAAAAGAAGAAAGCTGCACTGGAGAAAAAAAATCAGTAGGAAATTGTTTAAAATTGCTTTTATTGTGTCATACAAAAATTATTTAAAATCATTTTATTAGTGTAACAGAAATTAAAAACATATTTTTATTCTCTGTATAAAAAATATGAAAATTATCATGATTGGTATATTTATTATTTTTGCCTGGAAATTTTTCAAATGAAACCTTTTATTCAAAAATTTTTATTCAATAAATTTTTAGAGAAATATTCTGAAGTCTAAACTAGTAATGATCAAAATTATGTTTCATGTTAAGTAAGAATGATAATAAGAAACTATATCATGAAATATCGTTCCTTTAGATGGGTTTTAATGACTAAATCAGATTTACTTTTTTTAGCTGGGATTATGTACCCCAATATTGTGTGACACTATATACTTTTATTGTTTTATTTTAATATGAGGGCATCAGAGAACAGTAAATATGTACTTTAGTTTCTTTAAAACATGGACATATAGAAAAATAAAAACCTCAGGATCAGGATGAAATCCTTAAACTTGAATTTGAGGACTAATAATCATCAATAATCAGGTATTAAAATTAGAGTTCGGACTGTTGTAATTGTAATGAAAACTTTTTTAAAAACAATAACAATACTTGTGATTTACAATTATTTTAATACAATAACAATAAATATTGTATTGCAATTCATCTTCATAATACAATAACAATATCTGGAAAAAAAATGTATTGTAATGACCTACTACAATAACAATAATTATTGTATTGTAATTCATCTTAAAATACAATAACAATTTATTGTTATTGTAATAAAAAAAATTATTGTAATGTTAAAATTTAATGTTTTAACAGCCCAGTCTTCGAGATATGTGACCTCAAAATAGGGTACAACTAATATATGATTATTGATTCTATTTCTATTTTATTTACTGAATATCACTTGTCCTTGTTGCAAACTTTATATAGCTTTATAAAAGTGAGCTTGATCTGAACTGAACTTCTTTTACTGCTGGAGATAGACATGATTAATTACTACCATTTCTTTCACTTAGTTATTTGCTTTTACATTTGCTTTTATACCTATCCAATTATTTCGAAACTTACTCAACTAACACTTACTCTAATATAACTTTGTCATTTGTTTTCCTGAGGCTTTTATGGCTGTATGTGTTTCATAAAGTAACTGGACTTTTGGATCTAGTTGCAAAGTTATACAAGAATTTTGTTACATAAATTAAGAACAATATTTATTTGGTATTCTAAATTACCTTATTTTTTTTAAATGGCCCCCTACAAAATTTACAAGTATGGTCTGATATGTAATGAGTAATCTGAAAGTGTAGAAATTTTTTTTGCAAAAGTAGTTCACATTTTTAGACAATCTAATCGATAATTACCTAGGTCAATGGTTCCATGATTCCACAACACTGTAATTTATTACTCGTTTGCGGTTAATTATATTGAGAAAAAAAATTATTTCATGCGCTTTTTGTAGTTAATCAATTAGTTTAGACATATTCATCTGGAGAAGCATTTTAATATCAGTTTAGACAAAATTTTTTAAAAATCAAAAATTTCACATCACAAAGTAAATAGTTATTTAATTACAAGCATATCATAAATTACATATTTGTATGAATATTATTAATGTTAATTCTAAATAAATTATTCTTTAAACAGTTATATTATTGAACTCAAAATAAATTAAATTTATATATGTAAAAGGTTGCTAGAAACGGGTGCCACAAGCGCTCCTGAACTTTATGTTTATTAAGTATACGTAATAAATATACTTCTTTGGCTTTCCTGGCTTCACTTCTCAAAATAAATAAAATTTATACATATAAATGACTGCTAAAAAAGCGTTACGGGCAGCTCAGAATTTTCTAGTGCCCAAATAATAATAAATGCGTAAAAAAAGAATCTAAATACTTTAAAATACAATAGCTATTGGACTTTAACATAGCAATACAATACACCACAATAATTATTGTAATTGTTTTTCATCACAGCAATACAATACAAAAGTTATTGTAATTGTTTTACATCACAGCAATACAATACAATAGTTTTAGAACTTTAAAATATGGTTAGAAAAAAAACAATACAATAGTTGTTGTAACTGTTTTTAATCACAGCAATACAATATTATTGTATTGCTATTATATTATTGTATATGCTATTGTATAATACATTACAATACAAATAAATGTTTTAATTACATCTCTGGTATTACAATATAATATTATTGTATTGTAATGTGTTATTGTAATTAATTTTTACAATTACAATTACAATAGTCCCAGCTCTTGTTAAAATGATAATGTAATTAGATTAAATTAAGACATTATCAAAGTTCGTAAATTTCTAAAACTTCTACAGTATAAACTAAATTTGATCAGTTAATTGAATCATTAGTGTGTCATAATCTACAATATTATCAATATTAGGAGGGTGTTAGCTATTTTACTTAGAATGTGCAGCTAATATAAGCTGACTTGAAATCTTAAAACAGTTAATTTGGAATTTGAAAAACAAATTTAAAGTAAATTAAATATTTCAGTTGATTTTGTTAGTAAGAACTTTATTATATGTGCGGCCGTGGCGCAGTGGTTACAGCTTTGCTTTATAAGCAGGAAATCCAGGTTTGAAACAAGCTCTGGACATATTTTCGTATCATGATAAGGTAGAAGGCGTGAACTTCCTGGTTAAATGCACTTCCACGGTGTTCTGTGACAAGACCGTTAGGTCTTCTTGGGGCACCTGAATAACAACAACAACAAAAAAAAAAAAGTAACTTATACTTAATATGTAAATTAGATTTTAATATAATAAAATAATATTTATAACAATATCGTCCATATACTCATAAAAAATTGGTAGATTTGAATAGCTTTGCAACTTTTTCTTTTATTTCCTAGTGAATGTATATCTCTAAAATATAATTTCATTATTTTGAGGTTTTCTGGTAATTTCTTCTTGACATTAATCTTCTTAACCTTTTTATTATCAGGTTTTTGAATCTTCGTGTTTAGTGAATGTCTATACAAACTGACTTGGTTTAAATAAATCATGTTGCTAGCACTAAGAGTCCAAAGTGTTTGCCTTTCACGATTCTTTATCCAGATAGTTAAATTTCTACCTCAATTTTTCAAAGATTCAAACCTCCAGTCTTTGCCTCTTGATTTGTGCTTTGTCTTTTACTTTGTACAATGGATGGAAGAAAAGTTTTTTCTTTATTCAACTCCAAAATTCATTTTTATGAATTTTGGAGTTGAATAAAGACGAATCCCTTGTTCCATCCATTTTTTATATTTAATTTTATTTATTAATTTTATATTTAATGCTATATTTTATTTACATTAAACCACTCTTGAACTAATCCACCAATCCTGGCTGTTCTGGTAAGCACACTAATGCTTTGTAAAACTTGAAACCAATCCTGGCTTAAAAAATTTATTTCTTGTTTAAATTACAACATTTCTGTCTAAACCTTTTTTCTTTTTTTTTGCTTTTCCATACTATTAAAACTATTTTGTGTTTTTTTTATTTTTTGGTATGTTTAAAAGAAAGATGTTTTATATAGCAGTCAATTAACTATTATGTAAGAAATATCATTTAATGTGTGTCTACTTATGTTACAAAAATTAAAAATTGACCCGAAAGTCAAGTCAACAGTTTTAAAAATTTAGGACAATTTAATAATGATATTTTTTTATTTTTAGATTGATATTAATGATAATGATATTTTTACATCAAATCAAAAGTACTAATAAAAGAATGGTGTTTAAACCCGATATTTAGGATAATAACATGATTGTTAAACTGTTTAGAATGCATAGAGAATCACTAACAATCGAAAAAGCACATCAATATATTGAAAAATAATTGCCATTATTCTTACATCACTCATTACAGCATTCGTGGGATAGTCAAATTATAAATCATAATGGTAGAAAAAATATTAAATTAAACTACTATAAGAATAGCACTTTATGCATATAACTGTCAAAGCTTTAAATTGAATTCATTATTTTTATATCAGAGCACTTGATTTTAGATATCAAGAGTTTTCTGTTAGATAATGTTGCATTACTAACACACGAGTTTTCTTGAAGAAACACTTTCATTATTCAAAATAATGTAATCTTTTCACATAATGCATGAGGATGAAAACATTCTTGCTAATAAAAGAACAACTGTAATTTAATTTAAATAAATTAGTGTTCCTAAACAACTGTAATTTAATTTAAATAAATTAGTGTTCATCTTGTCATAACAAAAATGAATCCAATGCAAAATGTTCTTCTCAATCACAAACAATTACTTCAATCATGAACAGCTATAAGGATTAAGAATCTATTATTTCTGGAGACTTCCAGTCATTTTTCTTGAGACTTTCAGTCATTTTCATTTAAAATGAATCTGAACTTTATAAAAACAAAACACAAAACAATTTCTCAAAACATCTCTCTAATTTTGTTGAATCTAACTAGGTTGTGTTTGTAAATAAAATCACCATTGCTGGTCCTAGTTATATTTTTTTGTTTTTAGATATTTTTTGCTTGATTTAAATTGCCAAAAATGTTGCATTTTATATTAAGTATTTTTTGCTAAAAAATTATGTTGTTTAATTTTTTTATTTTCATTTTCTTGTGTGCACTTATTTTATTCAGAAAGTAAGGAAAAATGTACCTTTAGTGGTAATATGTAAAATATTACCACAAAAAGTTCATTTTTGTTGACATCTTCTCTCTCCTTCTTTTACATCAACTTCAGTTTCTTATGAGTTTGCTTAGACATCAATAAATATATATCCCATTTGTCATAAATCTAGCTTCATGACAAACAGGGGGTTGGTAAAGGAAAAAGGTTAGTACTCATTAAACAGATAAAAAAAATCTAGTTCACGCAATCCAATGTAGTCTGTTCTTACCTTAGGAAAAGTTTTTTTGGGTAATTGTGTTTTCAAAATTAACTATCGAAGTAATTATATGTGTTTTTACCTAAATAATTAATGAATATACAAAAGCAATATTCGTTTAAATAATCTTTTTTCAATGTAATAGATATCCTTTTTCAGTATAAAGAACCAATTTTGCATTTTATTTTTTAGGGAAGAAGAAAAGTTGGCTGCTGTAAAATTGCTGCAGGAAGAAGAAGATCGACTTGCCAAAGAGAAGCTTAAAGAACAGCGGTTACTTGATGAGGCAACTGCTTTACAAAATAAAATGTACAACAAACGACTTAATGAAATGACCTACAATACAAACCCTTTGGTTAGGTAAGAAATTATGTATTTTAAGTTTATTTGTTTGTTGCTGTTGTTGTTGTTTATTATTGATTTAAAAACTTTAGACAATTTACCTCCTGTTTATAAACTAATATGTAGAGATTTGTAATTTTGGTAAATTTTAGCATAAAATGTTTTTATGTGAAATTGATCAATCACCAAACCCCAGTTGTCAGATTTCATGAATATTGTTGTCATGGAAACAAAATTGTCTAATGTACTCTGTGCTACGTTTACACAACATACAGTTTTAATTATTATTTTTTTACTGATCTTTTTATTTTTCAACAGTAACAATATTTTTCTAACAATTTTAATATTTTTTTTCCTTTTTTTCTATTCAAATAAAAAATTTAAATTGTAATTGTTTTTTTGACATTCTATAAGTATTATAAAAATATTTTTAAAATATTTTAAAATCTTATATAAGTATTCTAAAAGTATTCTGAAAATATTCTATGAACATTCTAAAAATATTCAATAAGTATTCTAAAAATAATCGAGAAATATTCTATAAGCATTCTAAAAATATTTTAAGTAAAATTCTTAATGTTCCTTATTTATACAGAATTTGTGTGTGTGTGTGTGTGTGTGTGTGTGTGTGTGTGTGTGTGTGTGTGTGTGTGTGTATACTAAGTTGGTTTGAAAAGGGATCATTCTATTTTATTTAACAAATGTGTTCTATTAAATTGCGTTAATTTGTCTCTCACTTTAAGTTGTTTTTTTATATTTTATTAAAAGGAAGGATAGTTAAATAAATTTGTCATCTAATTGATGGCTGTTTTTATCTAGTTATTACTGCTTAGTTTCCACCAGTCAAAAACTGATTTGACGAGTTAACAAGGGTGTTAATTATATAATCAAAGCCAATGCGAAACTTAACAGTGTAATCAGTGTGGTCAAAATAAAGACAGAAATGATTATCACCTGGCAGATAGAATGAAAGTGATTATATATTACACTGTTGTACATAACACTTGGTGTATTGTAGCATCTATTGTACTTTACACTTGGTGTATTGTAGCATCTATTTTTCATTTTTAGAGCATAACAGTTATATTTAAAAAAGTGATTTACACATAATAAAAAGGGAAAGTGTAAATATGCAATTTTTTTTTGTCCACAATTCTATGATTTAAGTACTCTTTTTACTAAATAGACTCTTGTATATAAACTTTTTACTATATAGACTCTTGTATATGAACTTTTTACTATATAGACTCTTGTGTCTTGAACTTTTTTACTATATAGACTCTTGTATATGAACTTTTTACTATATAGACTCTTGTATATGAACTTTTTACTATATAGACTCTTGTGTCTTGAACTTTTTTACTATATAGACTCTTGTATATGAACTTTTTACTATATAGACTCTTGTATATGAAGCAATTTATTTTACTTAAGTAATAATTATTTTCGTACATAGAAAAGACCAGTTACCAGCGCCCGTAAAAACGTCCTCGCATAAAGAAGACAATCGCATACAAACTTCTGTTTCAAACAATCCTGCGTTTCGACCTAATAACTACCCCAATACTGAATCTTTATTAAATACTTGCAGTTCTCCTACATGTGATAGCATAAGTACAGCTCAAAGTGCTTTTAGTGAATACAACGGACCAATTAATTACCAGAAGCCAAGTGGAAAATCCAACAAAAAAATAATACAAAATGCTATCATGCATTGTTGCCTATGTGGCGAAGTAAATAAAGAGGCGAAAGCTAAATGCTTAGATGTGAGTGGTCTTTGTATTCTTTCTATAATTGTTTATTGTATAAATTCCATTTGCAATCATATGCTCTAATTAAATTTTATAATTTTATAAGATAAAAATAAATGTTTAGACATTAACACTCTCCGACGCCAGTCACTTTCTTGTTTTATTTCGAGAAGGTCTTAAATTTCGCTCCGTGTATGCGTACAACCCCGAAGAGCAAACGGTATTTTAAGATTTAAGTGTGATAATTAAGTTGATTACTTTTTTTAACTCGAATTAGGTAGGTGTTCTACGTGCCTTTCTTTATAGATATCCCGTATATATGGCATTGGGCCGAAAATGATTACTTCAAAAATGATTTCGACGTATTACAAGTAAGTACAGTTTGAATTTTGTTAACTACTAAAATTATTCAATTCTTTAAATTCGAATGCATTTTGTGTATTATATATTATTAATTTATTTTAATTTTAAGATATAATAGTGGAGCAAAAGAGTTTTATTCGTTGGACACCAAACATTTATCTATTCAAGTTGATGGTGTTATGATTAAAAAGGAGTTATGGGATAAGAAAACCTCTGTTACAAAAACTGAACCTATTCAAAAAACCAAACCTGTTCAAAATAAGTCATTACATATACAGAGGTAGTTCTACTTGTAGAATAAAGATTTGTAAATACTGCATCCGAATGCCAAGAGCCTATCAATCTTTTAATGAACAACCAAATAAAGAAATTGGTTGCCAATTGATTAAACGCGCGCCTTTAATATTTATTAATATATAAATAACACTAACCAGCGTATCAAACGTTGGTATCAAAATGTAAGAAAAAAGCAGCATTTTCTCTTCTTTTTGTTATGTTAAATAATAAGTTATTTGATATATACGATAATGTTTAGCCACGTACTAGATACTTGTTAAAACATTTTCTTGTTTGTTTTGTCTTAGTAATTTTTTTGTTGCAGTTATTTAAAAAACGACAGCTATTGTATATATGTGTATGTGTATATATGTGGATCTTATTTGAATTCTTATTTTAAGTTAAAGATAATACTGCTAGTTTATATAGTTCCTTTGTTTTTCTCAAAGTTCTATATTTTATTTTATAACAATTAAAAAATGTTTTTAATATATATTATATCTGTATTCCCTAAATATTCATAGTCCGGTCCAAGTAGTCGAAAAAATAGTGTTAGGTTTACAATAATTTGCATAGAACTGAAAAATGGTACAGACGTTGAAGGCATTATTACCTATAAAATATTAAAAGTCCTCAATAATCTCACATCTGTAAAAATAGTTATTCAAGGACAAACGTTTTACGATATATTGAAGAAAATGTGTTCTTTCGGCATTTCTCTAGCCTTGGATAAACTAAAATGTTTCAGAGGGTTTTACTTACTGTATAGTCGTTTTAAAGAAAACTATTTTTTTTTAAATTGAGTTTTTATAATTGTGATATAGTAAAAAAGAAACTATAAAAAAAGAGTATTATTTAGTTTTTATTAATTTTCCAAAGCAAAAATGAAAGTTCCTTTGCAGTAAATACGTGTTATTGAACAATGTTTCTTATTAGTAATAAGTAAATCAAGATAATAATAATTATTAATAAGACCCAACGCGTTTGAATTGGGTCTGGGTTTTATTATAGACCCAAAACCCGCCAGCACTATACGGCCTGTTACTCAAACGGATCTGGTATGCGTACCCGGTTTAAACGGGTCGGGTCAAGCTAGATTAACAGCCTATTGATTAATTGACCTATTAACAGCCTATATATTACGATTTTTACTGTTAAATGCTTGTTTTAAAATTTCGCGACTATGTTTCATTGTAGTAAACCTTTAACAGCAAGTGAAACAGTTATTGTTAATCGTGAAATGAAGACGTAAAAAATTGTTTGGAAAAATTATCTTAAAAAGAGTCACAAGTGTAGTGACTGGGTTTCTTGAATACCTTAATGGTCAGAAGTCATTGTGCAGTTTTGTAAAATGTATACTCAGAAAAGGATTTAAAAGGCAGCTACATATAGATCAAACCAATGCATCTAAAATTAGTCAACCTTGTACCAGAACTCAAGTAAATAAATATGATTTTTGTTTGAAGAAGTACTGTTTAGTTTGTGGTAATGTTCATGTGAAATTGTATTGCTTATTTTGCAGCAAAATGTTCAAAGTAAAATTATAACGTAGTTATCTTAAATTTGAAGAATCAATTTTTAAGGTTTCTCGTAGTCGGTTTGATAACCTAGTAAAAAAATGTTACTTCACGCATTAAAAATAAATACTATTTAGTTGCTGCTGAGACTTAGCCTAAGCAGCAGCTTTCTTAGTAACTACTATAACATTTGTTATAATTCCTTCTTAAGGCCAACCACTGGAGGTAAAATTAGTTGTCCGCAGGATGAATCTACGAATGATACAATGATTAAATATTTACATATATTGAAAAATAGTGATGATTGTCAGTTTTTATTAGACCAGTTTAAAAATATTTTCAAAATTTCAGATTTAGATAATAGAACAATTAAAGTACGATTAAAGTTGAAAAACCTGGCAGGATTAACTTTCAGGATGGCAGGATTAACTTTCGTTTGTTTTTTTGACAACCATCACGATATTCTTAACTAACCTTGGTATAAGAAAAAATCCAAAATAAAGAGAAAAAACCTTGAAAAACTCCTGCAATAATCCTTTGAAATCCAATTATTATTATTATTATTTTACTTTTGTCCATTTATTTAACCATAAATAATGAAAATTTACGATGATAAATTATAAATTTACATAAATAAGGTTAGGTGTCACTCATATAGTTGAAAACTAGTCAATGGAGTGAAACCTTAAAAAGAAATGTAAAAAGAAAAAAGGAAAGAAAGATATACAACAATAACAATAAAGAAATTAAAAAAAAAAAAAAAAAAAAGAGGAAAAGAAAGTTAAAAGTAATAATATTTATAAAAATAATAATAGTAACAATAATATGAATAAAAATAATGTAAAGAAAAATAACTGCAATATAATTAGTATTTAACAATACTAATTATCTCTCGCCTAGTCAAGGTATTAAGGGTTTGATATTACTTATGATCGAGAGCATCAGTATTATCAAACCCTTATATAAAGCATCAGTAGTTTTTAACCATCCACCTTTTATTTTATTACCCCAAACTGGCGTATTTATTTATTTATTTGTTGTTTCTACATAAAAATTATATAGTAAAAACAAGATTTTCTCCAATGTTTTTGCATATTGCTTCATTTATTGAAAAGGTTTCATATAACTTTTGAATTGAGTTCTCTTGTTGTGTTTTGGTTTCCATATATATTTTATTTCTCTTTTTATTTTTTTGATTAAGTTGCATTGTTTTCTTTATTTTCCTTGAGCTTGCTGTTATTTGCTTTCCATAGCTCTGTGGTTGTGACGCGTGTTATAATCGTTACTAGTTTTGCTTTTTTCTTATTTAAAGGTTGTTCTTCTACTTTTGTTATGAGAATTACATGTACTGCGTCGAAATTCTTGTCTGTTAGGAATCTTTCCAAACTTTTTCTGATTTTGTTTCCACACTGCTCAAGCTTTCTTGCATGATATTAAAAAATTTAGTGTAGTTTTTATTTATTTACTGGTTTTGCATATAACATTTTTGCTAACTCTATTTTTCTTCCAGTGTTGAGTTTTTTTGCGTGTTGGGAGGCTGTTTTGCGTCAGCCACCATAAGGGGCTGTCCATTAATTCCGTGAACAATTTTTTTGAAATTTTTACCTCCCCCTTCCCCTTGTCAACAATTTGTCAAATTTCCAGAGAACCCCCCTATAAAATTACGTCAACTTTTGATTACCCCCTCCCCTATACAAAGAAACTACGTTACAAACTCAGCCTAATTTTCGGTTATTTAAGCAATAAAACTCAAAAAAAAAATTGTTGACGTCAACTTTGACCTCCCCCTCCCCGTGTCAACAATTGTCAAAAAAGTTCAGACCCCTCCTATTTTGTTGACGTAATTAATGGATAACCCCTAAGGTATTTTGACTGAGCCCTGAGCATATGAGTTGAAGATTCTTGGCCACACTTTTATTCATGATAGAGTTTTTTGAAGATTCGTTTCCTTTATATTTTGTGTTTCTCTAACATATAAGTTGCTGTCCTGGTATGAGATTTGTTTGTACATATTATGCACTGTTTTATTTGTTAAAGAGAGAAATTTCATGCTATTTTTTAAAAGTGTTATTATGTAATAGTAGTAGAAGGGGGATCAATTAGGGTTTTAGGGAAGTTATTATAGGTAAGAAAGCGCCATTGATCATATTTATTGTATTCTATATTTTTAGAGAGTTAGCCAAAAAGTAATTTTGTAAGCTAAGGGATTCATGAGGTTTTTGGTTTACTTTTATTTTAAGCAGGTGCTTCATTCTCAAGGCTACGCTTTGTTTGGCAGGATCTAAAATGCCTAGGTTACCGTAGAATGTATGAGATATAGTACATCTCATTTTATAGGTTTTGCGTGTTTACTCCGCCAGAGGTATTTTAAAATGTTTTTTGTTGTAATTTCTTCTCTATAATTTTAGGTCTCTATAATTTTAGGTCTCTATAATTTTAGGTGTCTATTCTCTTGATTAGACTCTTGAAATATTTTTTATGAGTTTTTGCTGCTTTATGCATAGATTTTGTAGAGTCTCGGATAGTTTACTGTATATTTATTGTATATTTGTAAATTGTGTTTCCTTTTCGGATTTCCAATATTGCTTTCTTTTTTTTGTTTTTATTTTTCCAAGAAAAAAAGCACTTTTGAAGGCTTCTCGTCTTCTTCAATTTTTTTTGTTTGTTCTTATAAAGAACAGGATGTACCCATGCAAATAATTGTAAATTGAAATGTCTATTTTGACCAGGCTATCAAATCGTAATCATAAAATACATAGTCTGGCCAGTTTAAGAGCGCTTTTGTTTATCTTATTGTTACCCTTTTTTCAAAACTAAACCTACCAATGAGTGCACACTTTTTGTAAAAAAATGCATTAGGAAGAATATTTACAAGAAGATTATTGATAATCAGGGTCGCCCCGAAGAGATTTCAAAGGGGGGTGATGTGTCTGTTTTTTGCCAACTTAAGTCAAAAAAAATTTTTTTTTGATCGCTAACTTATCTAAAAAAAAATTAAAAAAATAGAAAAAAGATCCTCGTTTTCCCATATTTGCTGACTGCCAACAATAGATACAATTTTGCCGACTCCAGTTAACTCTAGTTAACTTGAATTAAGGTGGTAGTATACCATTAAAAAAAGATTTTGCATTTTAACTTTTTTTTCAAATTTTAATAGTGCATAACATATATTATATGATTAAAATATAAATAAAAATTTAAAAAGTTAAAAAAATTAATTATGCACATAATTATTGACGGACAAAAGCCTAAAAATGAATAATTGGCGACAGGGTTTTTTCAGCAACCGTAAATAAATTTGAACTGAAATTTTGGCTTGTGATCCTTTACTTATGCAATAACAACATACACTAAAAGTTTTGAATTTTGACTAAAAAAAGTCAAAATATATGCATTTTAGTCATATTTGGAAGTTTTGGTGTTATTTGAGAACACAAAATCACTCACAAAAGTAGAACACAATTAGCTGTAAACATAATTCTAGTAGAGGTTGCAAATACATGTGTTACAAACAAGTGTACCAAATTTCAGATCAAAACGGTTATCGGTTTGAAAAATATCTCTGTCGCCAGGGTATAAAACATGATTTTGAGAAAAATTTAAAAATAAAAACAAAAAAAAAATTGTTCAAAACTCTCCACTTCCATAAACTGCACCTTCTAATGTTTCGTTTTGATCACAAAAACCTTTTTGTATAGCTCTTAGTTTCTTGCGTCTCAATTTCACTATACTTGTGCATTGTTTTTCTGCTTTAGAAATGTGCTTAGAGTCATTTATAAGACAAAAGTTATGTAGATTGCAACCTACTGTTATTTCAAGCTTATCAAATAACATCTCTAAAAATTGTAGTCATTATTAAAGTATAGGACAGCTGATGCTACTTTAACACATAAAGCAGTTCTTTCTACAAA